ATAGATTCACTTGTTTCAGAAATATCCAAAATATGCAAACATTTGGTAATTTTCATTTATTTTAATTTTAGCTTTAATTTTAATTTTAATTGGTTTTTAATCTTAATCTAAATTATTTAGAATGTGTTAAAAATTTCAAATTTGGACGAAACTACAATTTTAACAGCCAGAAAATTAGGGGTTCTAATCGAATCTCAAAAAGGCTTAAAGATTTTACAGCTTATTAGATGCAAATTACCTGTAAACGTTTTGATCCCATCAGTTTTAAAACAAAGACGAACACTAAAAGAATTGAATTTCCGAGGTGTCAATTTCGAAGGGGTTCATAAATTGGACATCCTAAAGAACTCTAGATTGGAAAAATTGAAAATAATCGATTCTTACAACTTGGATTCCAATCTTGTTCAATCGTTGGTAAATTCAAATCATCGAAAATTAAAAAACGTAGAGGTTTTCAGTTGTAAACCCGAAAATATTAATCATCAATTAGAAGAGTGGGCCTATAATATAAATAATCGTCGAAAGAGAAGGTTCCTATAATCGAACAATTAATATAAACTATATGATAAGTGTACACAATACATACATATGTCAACTTTGTTGGCAGTGATGTACAAACAATATGCTATTTAAGATTTTTATGAGAAATTTTATTTTATTTACTCTATTCTAAGATTATGTATATTAAGATTTTTTATTTATGAATTAAAAATTTAAGATTTATTTATTTATTTATATGTTTTAATATAAATAAATAAAAATTATGAAATAATAATGAAAAAATCAGATTGTATGACAATCAATGTGTAACATCTATTTTATTATGTTTATTATGTTGTCATTGTTTGAAATTTGTCAAAAAATCAAAAAAAAATTTTTCTTCTCGACTTGCATTGCATATTATTATAATATTTATATATATACATATTAATGAATGACAATTGACATGGCGTGTAACATATTTAAATATCTCATCTTGGCAATAACAATTTCAGGGGTTTTAGTTTTTTAATATTACTTTTTTTTTTTACCAGGTAAATGTTATTTTTTTTGATTGCTTAATCACATGTCTCTGAGCTTATTAAATTTTGCATTATTTTTAGTTATTCATTCATTCATTCATTCATTCATTCATTCATTCATTCATTCATTCATTCAATGTTTACTTCTTACTTTTTTTCATTGCTAACAAGATAAAAAGCACGGAATTAGGATTGCATCAACCATTTATCGTCTTTTTTTAAAAAAAGTTGGCTTGGATGAGTCTTTATTAAATTTATCATGGCACGAATGCTTGTTGAAGGACTGAGTCAAGTATAGTAACTAACTCTCTTTCTAAAAAGCCGCTATTGATAGAATCGAAGCCCATGAGATGACATATTCAAGAGTTTATTATATGAATCAATTTATGTAGCAAAGTTCTGTGAGATGGGAGGTAATAACGTTGACATCTGGCTCGAGTAGAGACTGTCTTACTAGCACATTTTTATTCATTAAAATTTCTCATTTTAGGTGGATTTGCAAATGACAATAAAAAGATATAAAAATTTTAATATGTATATTTATATATTTATAAATCTATTTAATAATAAAAAGAAAAAAAGAAATCTATTCTTAATAAAAAAAAAAAAAAAAAACAGAAAAACAAAAAAAATTTAAATTTTAATAAATTTTTAATTATAAAGTTATTAACAACAGTGGCATTTAATTCTTTTTTTAAAATAAAAATTACAATGGAAATGATAAAATTTATATAATCCAAGTCGAAATAAATTAATTTTTTTGATTTTTTAAAAAAGATAAAAAATTTAAATTTCTAATCCGAGAGAGCCAAATATATATAATTTATATAAAATTTAATTTTTTATAATTTTTAATACGCGGCAAGATAGGTTATCTGATATTTATATACTTTCAAAAAGCTGAAGTACAAACACACCTTAACAAGAAACTGATCCCCAGCCCGTTCAAATATTTTATTTTCCATTTTATTTTTTTATTTTATGCGGAGAAGGAAAAAAAAAGAATTATGAAAAAAAAATTTTTATATAATATTTGATATTAATTAATATCAATAAATAATAATAACAATTAATTACTCTCACATATTTAATATATATATATATACAGGATAATAGTAAATATTCTACTTGATAACTATTCACTATTGCTCACCAGCGAACTAAATAACTGCCTTTCTATCAGCTGTTTATTGTACTCGTTTAGTTATAAATGCAGTCAAAGTCTCAATGGGCGTATTTTTTTTTTTTAATAAAGAAAAATAAATTCATCACTTTTTTGTCATTTCTATAAATGAAAATCTTTGACAGTTGACAGGTCATCATCATTTATCAATTGATTGATTGTCATTTAATATTAATTAAATTATTAATATTATAAATGTAATGAAAAGGAAAACCCCCTGCAGAAATTCCTATCCCCCCAATAATAACAATAATAGTCATAATATTTATTATTATTATTATAATTATAATTATGATAACTATAATTATAGTTGTAACAATAATGAAACTGACAAAAAATATTTGTTTTCTTTGTTAAAATCATAAACAAGGAATACTGTGGGGGACTTTTTTTTTAACAAAAAAAGTATGTTGATGTCAACCCACTTTCAGACTGATCTAATCTATTTATATATATTTTGTATGTTGTGTAGTGTGTTACTTTTGATTATTTTTGTAAACCATTACGCAGCATTTGGATTAATCGAAGTCACGTAATTCGCGGTTTTTACAATTTTTAAATTTTTAAAAAAAATTTTACGAAAGATTCTTAAAATTTTGAAATTAAATCACATGATTTATTTTGGAATTCTAATTTTTGACATTTTTTATTTGATGCAAGATTTTTTTCACTACATTAATTTTTGGCGGAATTCTTTAATTCACCCTTCAAAAAAACATCAACTCATGATTAACAATGTTACTACGACAATTAATTTTAAATTCTTGTTGATGACGATGTATTACATAATTATTGTAATAATATTATTATGACTAATCTTTTATAATTTTACAATTATTAATTTTTTATGTATATATAAAAGAAGTTTGAATTACAAAAAAATCGGAAAATTTCAATACGTTAGAAATTTATTAGTGATTATTATTGTTTTTTTTATTTCTTTGTTTCTCTTTTGCTTCCAAGGAAAATTATTATAATTTGCACATGATAATTAATATAAATTGCTTTTTACAGGCAAATAATTGTTATGTTTATGACATATGCAATACTCCACACATTTCACATTTTTTATACATTTAATTTCCCATTGTTAAAATCACGTGATTGTCAACTATCAAAAATTAAAAAACAAAAAAAAATATCAAGGAATTTCTTCCATTGTATAATTTATATGGTTATTATATAAATTATGTATATAAAACGATATTCTTTACATTGTTACATATCTTTAGGATTTTTAATAATTATAATATTAACAATAAATACTATTACTTATGATAGTGTGTATAATTATGTGACTATTGAAACATGACAATTAATTTTTAAAGCAAGGACCTGCAGTAAATTATTATTTTATATTAGGAAATTTTATTACTTTAAAAGTATAAATTGCTTTATTATAATTCGATTTTCTAAAAATGAAAATTTAACAATAGCACTATAAATAGATCAATACAAAGATTTATTTTATGCTTCAAAAAAATTTTTTTTTCCTATACTCTTGCCTTTTACTTCTCTCTCTCACACATACACACTTGGACATCAAATAACTTCTTATATACATCACCATCATATTAACAATAAATTATTTTTTGAAAGAAATATTTCTTTTGATAATATTATGATTCTCAACGAAACAATATTATTTGGAAAATTAAATTGTACATATTTAAGGTTTAATTATTTAAAAATATTAAAACTCTGCTTTAATGTTTTCCAATTTGCTTGTAATAGATATAAAGATAAATAAGCAACTTTATGATCTCGAGTATTTTTAGAATTTTTAGAATTCAATTAATGTGAAATTTCTACAAATATATATATTAATATGTATGTATATATATCAAAATTCGGATATTAATTCCACTGAATACAAACAAAAACACTGTATTTTTAGAAAAAAAGATCGCCGGTATTATTAGTATTTGAATCTCGCCTGCTTTGATCGAGTGGATTCATGTTTATAACAAGATAAATCTCACATTAAATTTCTTTTAAACGCATTTAATTAATTAATTAAAACAATTTTAATATTATCACCATCACCAACGTAAAAACCTTTCTGGTCGTGATAATAATATATTGATAATATATTGATAATATATTAATATCTAGATTGAATTCCTAATGTTTTGTAATGTTACAATAAATTTATATTTTGTAAAATTGAATTATTAAATAAAAATATTATAATTTTATTTTTCATCATCATTTTTATAATCCTATGATATCATAGTTTCTCTCCCTCCCCACACAATAATTTCAATATGGGTTGTGCTACTGACAGTACAGTTTTATTTCACTGTGGTACAACATTATCTAATTATGTTACACATTTAAAAAAACAATTCTGTCATTCAGCTCCCATTTTTTTATTATGTAAACACAGTTTGATATTTACCGCCATTATGTAAAAAAACCAATTGGTCAGAAGGACCTTTATATGATATTTTTTCAATCCACTAACAAATATCGCGCAAAAATTATTGTTGTATTCGTGATAACATTAACATTCATATATTTAAATGTAATAATAAAATTCTTAAAAAACATTCAAATATTAAAATTGCATCAGATGGACAACAATGAAAGATAAGAATCAAAAGTCTACAAGTAAATCAGATGAGAATATTTTTATTACAAACAGCAGTGGTGGTAGCAAGTACTGTGCGAAAATTAATATCAAATCCAGATAACAAGAGTAAATGACGAAAATAGTTCTTGAGATTAAAGCACAAACTACAACACCTTCAGACGCAGATGATATTTCATTAACAATTTCCTATGTAACTACAACCTCTAAATCTATAACTTATACTGCTACTCTGCTTGATTCAAAAAAAGCACGACTTTTTTAAGAAAATACTTGGCTCAACCAACACATTTATATTTAATTGTAATATGTATACATACAATAAAGTGTTTTCACAATACCCAATTTCCTCTGCAACACCAACCAACAATCATATCTATAACTTGTACTAGTACTGTATACGACTTTATAAGAATGTCAAAAGCCTGACACGAGACCCACAATGACCAATTCAATAATTGTAGACAGTACAATTGCTGTCATCATAGATACTCAAAACAACACTCCCCATAACTCTAACCATAAATACCATAGAAACAGATTTAATTTAATAACACCTAGAATTGTACAGTACGACCACCAGTGATGACGCAACAAACTACATCAGAAAATAAATTTGGTGTATAGCTGCGTAGATATTTCAGATTGTAATGTTTATGCAGGTCTAACAGGCCCGTTGCAAACCTAAGCTTTTTTCAAATTATTACAATATTGTTTAAATGTTTGTATTGTGCAAGCCAATTGTGTAACTCTTACGCAAAAATTACAAATGAAATTTTTTTTACAATCATTGCGCAAAAAAAAAATGAATTGTGCGAAATCATTGTCCAAAGTTTTATAATTGTTAATGAAATTTCAATTATCATTATGTAAGCTTTTAGGCAAAACATTTCGAGTAAGATGAATATATATATATATATATACATATATAATATATCATCATGTAAATATAACAAACCATTGTTGATATTATTGAATTTCGTATAAAAATAATCCCCAGAGTGAGGTTGTAACATTTAAATTATTGATATTATATATTATTTAATAAAATTTACATTTAACAGTATATAAAAAATGCCCAAATATGGATAGCATATTCAGAATTGCACTTTATGCGTAAGCTCTTTTTTTAGGTTCATCCTTCAACACCGGAAAAACAGGATAAGCCTGTATGAGAAAAAAAACTAGTATAAATGTGGAAATTATGTGCAACACAACATCATTTTCGTTTTTATCCTTGCTTATCTTATTTCCCTGGGGTATAGGGAAATAAGTTAATCCGCTGACTTAGTCTCTGTATTTGCCAAAGAATTGTACATTTAAGTATAGGTAGGCTTAATTTGGACTCGAATGATTTGTTGATATTATCTGAAGAGTTTTATAAAAAAGACCAGGTGGAGTTGTACAACAAATTAAAAATATTACAAATATTAAAGTACCTTGACTTAAAGGTGGACACACAAGCCATGCCATCTAGAGAGGAAAAAAATTCATTGATGATTATTTGATTAATGATAAAATAAAGACTGGTTCTATAAAAAATATTATGCTTATGACTCTTTGGTGTTGATTGATGCATACTTGTAAGCATGTTTTATTGTTTTCTATCTATAAAATTTATATATTTACCATTCTGTAAGTGAGGAAATATAGAAGAGCAACACCTTCCAAAATTATTGATAATTTGTGTTATTACTGATTACACATAACTGCTTTTATTTCTTGTAAAGATAACAGAATAAGGTTATTTAACGTGAATTAAGAGACAGGCGGGTACATATGGCAATCCAGATTGTTGCAATTATGCAGTAAGATCTATTATCTTTTTTTATATTGGAAAGTCTTTCTCTCTATTACTGTATGACTTTTTAGCAATAGAAATTAGATATGGACTTTGCACCAAGAACTCAAATCATGAAAATCACATTATTGACAATAAGAAAATATTAGAAAAGATAATTATTTTTTCGTAAAAATGCCCAAAAACGTCTAAAAAAAATTGGTTGTTTTTTATTTCAACCGTTCACAAATTCTATAGACATCTACTCTCACTTTAAAACTTTATAACTAAAAATATTTATATCAAAAAGATTTTTTGATTTGCTACTTAGATATTTTAGACTTCAAAACCATATCACCCAAAAAAAGTTTTTGATAGTGTTATTAACTTTTAAGTCAGGTGATCATATTATGTTAGCATTGGACAATGTCATCAATTGTTCAATGCACCTCATGGACACCCTGGACAACATGTTGGACATGTCCAATACATATCCAATGTCCCCATGTCTAATGTCAACCCTGATTGTCATTGTTGCTTTTTTTGTTATTTAAGTGAAGAAGAAACTTCATTATATTCATAGTTGTCGTCTCCAATGCTGTAGCCCTAATATCAAAGTTCCTAAACGGTTTCGGGAGATAGCTTACTCTAAGTCTAATACTAAACCCTTACCCTTGCCCTAAACTTAAACTTTTACCTTAAACTTAAACCAAACCTTAAACCAAACCTACGCTAAACTAGTCTCGGTTTATTTTTTCGCTAAAGAGGTTCTGGTCACAGCATTGGCCATCATATTTATCACACTTTAACCAAACAAAGAATATAATTAATATATTTGAACCCAGGCATGTGTTATTATTATCATATAAAATATATAAAAATGAATTTATAATATTTTAAATTATTAATATAAATTTTTTTCAATAAAGATAAAAAAAGCATTATCCACCATAAGAAAAAAAACCATAACACAATAACGCGCAGGAACATGAAAACTTTCTTTTTATTTCCAATTAATGAGACAACAGGTTTATTGTGTCAATCGGATTATCATTAAGAATCGAGACGCAGTTAATTTAGATTTTTCTTGAAACTTTTCCTGCAGCCATCAATTTTCATTACAACTATTTTTAAATTACAAAAGCCCATTGCAAAAAAACTAAAATCACCTACCAGCATTTCATTCACCGTATTTGGCTTAAGAATCATATCCACTTTGCATAATAGAATTTCCTTAAAAGCAAAGGATGTAGTAGATAGCATCATTTTCATGTAACCTATTTATTTTTTTTTTTTAATTGATTGTTTTGCGAAAAATCAACAACAATGTAATTAATGTTCTTTATAATGTTCTTTATAATAATCATGATGATGATGATGTGGATGTCAATGAATCGATTTTTTTGGAAATTTCTTTGTTATTTTAATTTCAATAACTTATGCACGCAATCAATTTTTCTCAACATCAATGTAATCAAAAATCCATTGTCGGAACTTCGCGCAAAAAAAGTAGCAATTCGATTAAAAATAAAATCATTGAAATCTATGAGTACATAATAATAATAAAAGGCGGGGAATGATACAATACTTTTTGTTCCACTACATGGAAAATTTTTTATCTGCAGATAGGGAAAATTTAATATATATATTTTTCTAGTTGTATTAATATTGAATGGAAAAGGCTTTACTTGATGGGATGCTATGGACCACTCATTCGCAGACGGATCGTCAATTAAAGCTCGTTTCATAAATCCATAAAATCAAATTTAATTTTTAAAATCTTTTAAAAAACAAGCAACACACAAAATTGTTAGTTTAAAAAAAGAACTTTGTCTTCGAAAAATACATTGGCAATGTGATAGAATGGAGAAAAATTGTAAAATGCGAGCTTTGATAATAGTGTAGGAAGTGGTGCGCGATGCCCATATTGTTCAAACTGTAGGCGTAGAACACTATCCATCCGTGAGTTGCAATGCTGGAATGCGCGAGGCTTTATAATATAAAATCGGACATCTATTGTCCATAATGTGTGGTTACAAAATCAAAAGATAAAATTATGTGTGTACTTGTAAGAAGACTCACATCTATCCAAGCTTGGTTTGGAGATCGACATCTACCAACCTAGCATCAAACTTTGCGATTGGGTTCAGGGCCGATAAAATAGAAGTTACGTATAGTTCGCATCTCCATGAAATTTTGAAAGATTTACACAAACAACTTGAATGGAGGAAATCCGGTCAAGAAAGATTCTCAAGATTAGTTTAATTGAAAAGACTCTACCATTAGACTTGGGATCCACAATGACATATTAATATTAAATTTATCTAAATTAACCAATGAACTTGTAAAATTAAAAATACTGCAGAGATTTCACAGCTATAAATTCTAAAGGGTCAAGACTATTTTCTTTATAAAATTCAATAATTGTTAATGTTATCACCATTTTCTTCTTCTAAGGAATCTAAATTTATTTATAGTCCATGGCTATTGATCTCATTGCCATCACCATGAGTGTTTCAATTTCAATCAATCTTTCATTCTTTCGAAATATTTTACTAAAACTTTTGATTAATTAGCAAAATATGCTGGATAATACAAGAAATTATTTAGTAAATAATGGTCGTCTTCTTGTATGTCAAAAGTTTATAACAATAATATTATATCCTTATTAGTAGAAGCAAGTTATAAATCGGTGTACAGAGGGGCCTGGAAGTAGATAGCGATTTGAAATGATTTCGTAAATTATAACATCAATTGGCAATTCAGTGAGTCCCAGAAGGGATTTACATGACACTGTTCACAAGGAGGAAGAGACCAAGATCATCTGGCAAAAGCAAATTCAGAGAGAAGTTATTATAATAAAAATACCAAAGTGATCGAATTATTCGTTAACCAGAGATACCACCACACAGAGTATTGTAGAGAGTGTTAATGCTATGGTTTATTCTACCACATTCTGATCAACAGATCTATTATCTTAGTCCTCGTCTCTTTGGGACGCAACCCCGAGAACAAATCAACTATGTTCTTGATAGAATTAAGAAGTTAAAAGTACCTGGAGATTATCTGGTGGGCAAGATAAAAATAATATAACTATTTGGTTTTAGTAATTTGTAATTATTATGAAAGTACTCCATGATCATGCCGTAGATACATGAAAGATCTAGTACTACCGGGTTGAATAAATCTCAATGATATGATCAAAGACTTATTATTTCCAGTATTTAAGCATACTTTTTTCTGGGTCACAAGCGTCAAGAATATCTTTGCAATAATATTCGCCCTTTGTCATGTATGAATTTAAAGATACCACTTTATTATTATTTCTATTTTTTGTTTTTTCTAGGTTTTTAATTACTTTTCTTTTTGATGAATTTCATAGATAATTCTCTCTTTCCTTGGGCAATCCGCGAAATATCAAAGGAATAATCGAAGTTAGCAAGGAATTCTCTGAATTTTTGCAATATGATTTTACCATTTCCGATAAATATTGGCTATTTCAGCAAATAATATTTTGAAAATGCGAAGAGATCATTTTGCTGCTTTGAAGACTACTTTACTAATGAAACTGACTTATTTAATTACACCAATAAATTGGAAAGCTTTAGAAATTGAATAACTCCATAAATGACATCAGGCTTGGACATAGATCGAAGTGAAATTAAAGGTATATTATCTATACATTTTCTGGACTAATTAAGATCTATCTAACTAAGATTGAGTCAATAAATTAATCAAGATTTAATTTGATTCGATTCAGATCTGTATTACATTTCCCAATACATACAGAATATACATATAGAAAGCATATGGTATAGGTAGACGTCTCTACATTTTTCTGTATTAAAATGCACTTTCATTATTGTGTACGGAAAGGATTCTGGACAATAACGTGAAAAAAGCAACTTCAACCGCTCCTATATGTAGCTCTTATGTAGAATATTTTGGCTTAGAAACTATATCTGCTTTGCATAATATTATTTTGAGTTAAAGTTTCGACAACCATTTTTTTCGGATTTTTCAAAATGTCCTTTTTTATTTCCCCAGGCCAAAAATATTTCCGTATGTATTTATTCCACATCTATCAAGCATTTATTATATACATAATTTTTTATAGGGAGCATATATTTTCTGTTTTATTCTAGTTATACATAATTATAAGCACATTATTATTATTATTATTATTATTATTATTATTATTATTATTATTATTATTATTATTATTATATCAATTAAAATATCCGGTTCGAATCGAATCGAGCCCAGCCTTTTTGAATTCGAATAATGATTCGACTCGATTCGTTCGGAGTCTTAGTCGAGGAGCAAATAAGATGAGAGCAAATATAATTTTTCAAAAATCGGAGAGAAACAAATGAAATAGAATGTGATGAGGAACAGTGTTGGAATTGGACCTGGTCCAATTGGACATATTTCCAATTGGAGATTGTTTCACAAATAAGAACTATTCATTTCACTGATTATTATTATTATTATTATTTATTATTATATCACAATTTCAAATGAAAAGGCTAATAAATCTAGTTGTTATGCTTTTTGTAACAAATACTACAATTTTTAAGGAAGAACATAAAAGTGAAACAATTTGTTTTTCCTGCAATATGAGAATGGTGCATTTTTATTTATCAAAATAAATATATTTATTAAGCAATAAAATGGTGAAAAAAGCAATTTTGAGTTAATACCATTCATGTAAAATACATATTCAAAGTTGAATTTAGTTATGATGTGTTACACACATATATATGACAAGGAAAGAAGATCACAAGAACATAAGCTAATCAATCGCAGACAACATGACCAGAAACTAAAAATGAACAAAAAGCAAAAAAAGAAGAGCAAACAATCCATCAACAATTAAAGAATAATATATCACACCGAATTTGAAACAATGAATAAGGAAATATCCCCAAAGAAACAATTGGGAAATCAGATTCAACAAATTCAAAAAGTCCAAACAACCAAGTCAAGGCCAAAGTCAAAGAAGAATGGATTTTTTGCCTTTGAATTGATTACACCAGTTATTCTATATTAATATGGAGGATATAAAGAATGTTCACATCGTGTGGATGATGGATGATGTTAACCCCTGTAATTTCTTTATAATGTGTTAAATGAGATAATTCTATCGGTGATTATTATATGGGGCATGCTGCAACAAAACCAGACAAAGTGAACTTTGGTATTACAAAGGATTTCAGGGATCAAAATTTAGTAATGTAGTAATGTGATTATTAAAATCTTCCATTTGTTATCCTCTTAATATTAGGTGATATATAGAATTACCTCTATATAAAAATAGTTAATATGAAGTTAATTTACATCAGATCTACAATGGAACCCAAGAATTATAGTACCATTAGAAGTATTCTGAAGAAAGAACAAGGTGAAAAAATTGCACCTTATATTTTTAAATTAGAAGATACTTACTAAATCTTCACAAATATATTTAGATAAAGAAAAGATTACCTATGAAATTTACCAAGAAAAAATAATAAACATTAAGAAAAGAAAATAGAGTTATTACTCAATAAAAAGCAAAAATACTTAGAGGAGAAATAATCATATTATTACAATATTGATTTATTTTTTTTTTAGTCCTTTAGCAACATAAATTATAGCAATTATAAAACATAAAATTATAGTTATATCTGTCATTCATAACCCAATAGATTTACCATCAAAACTTTTCTTTTGTTGAGTGTAAACATAAGATGTTGATGCTGGCTAGTGTAAGGTTTCTGGTCCGAACTGTTTTCTCAAAGCCCAACTAGTTTGGGCAATTTGGGCTTCTCAACATTTTTTTATAAGCATGAACATTAAAAAACTATATGAATCAACTTGTTTTAACTTAAACAACTTTAAAATAATTTCACTCAATTTCGGCTAATAACAAAAAGTAGTTTGGGCTTATAAAAAAACAACTTTTGCCCAAAGTATTTGGGCAATTTCGGCTACTAATAGAAGCAGTTTTGGCCAGAAACCTTAGATTAGTGTGAGATAGTAAATCGTGGACTGAAGAAGTCCCAACCTTATTGATCAATCGAAACCAACTTATTGCGGCAAATCACGTGATGATCACTAAATCTAGTTTTATAATTTATATATATTTTTAATGATATTTTTGTGTAACACTGCGCCCAATTGCCCCATATGTTTAGATCATATGATATCGTGTTACATATCTGATTTATATATTTATAACATTTAATTTATTTATTCATCTGATTCATTTGTTTATCAGTAGTCAGAGTGACTCATAATTTATAAGCATATTTTATTGGGCTAAACATTGTAAAAGTCACATTACATCAGGAACTTAAAAATTAAATTGGTGCCTTGAATTGGTTCTAGTTCAAGACCAGGAAATTTGTCAAAATCTTTTTTATTTCTAGTGTTAGCTTGATTTTTTTTACATTCTTTTCCACATTGATCTTGTAAAATTATTTCTGAGAAAAATGAAGTGTGGTCACCTTGAACAGAATCGGTATCTTCATTATTTTCATGACTTTTATCACGACCTCTACCAACTGCTATAACTTCATGACTTTCGCGACTTCCATGAATTCCATGACCTCCATGACTTCCATGACTCCCACGACTTCCGCAATTTCCACGATTTCCTTGATTTTGTTTCATTATACATCAAACAAAAGAACAATGTCTATTGTATTGACCGCAATTGTGTTTGTCAAGTCCATCAATGGCTCCAGAACCTTAAGCGGCACAGCTACAGCCATATTGGATGATGATGAATATGTAGACATCCAATACAAGGCATTCAATGTAGACAAAGCAAATTTAATTGATGAAATTCAAGAAAACACCATCATGTTGTTTGCAGGAAAATACATATTCGACGAATCGCAATTATTTGTGAGTATTTTATCTATTTTTTTGTCTTGCTTTTTTAAATAACAATAATTAAAATAACATATTTCTTGTCACACACTCCAGGTCACAGTGAATAAATCAACCCTACTTGACCTGAAAACCATAGAAGACAAACCAACTATATACGATCTGCCAATTAGTCCTTTATATGGTGTCATAACTGCTCTGTGTGTAACACCTTCAAAAAATCAAAACGACAAACATTACTTCACTATGTCTTGAAGAACATACGACCCATTTAAAGGTGGATACACATCAATGGACATTCCATGTTTTTATGATCCTGATAATGGTCGTCATGGTGGTGTTCCCAATGCTACAAAAAACGGGAAACAAATTTTTACTGTAGCAGGCGAGGTTTTTCTGGGCAGAAAGCT